CCAAAATTTATTTTTTAAAAAAAGCAAAAAGCCTAAACTATACCCCCCCATTTTTAGCTCTTCCTAAATGACAAAAACAAAAAGCCATTTTAATGTTATATTAAAATGTGTAACATAGGCTTCTTGTGAACATTTAATACCACTTTATTTGAATGACAGAAATAACAACTGATCAAATTTACCCAAGGTCAACAGATACACTATCCCTAAAGAAACAAAAGTCATCAAAATATCATGTATTAAATCTTCTAAAATCTAATTATCATCAAACTTGAGCAAAAGTGGCCTAGTAGGTCTAGAACTAAGACAATTTTAATCAGTCAGTATCAAAGTTAAGAGTCTTTAAGTCATACATGTCTAACAGGTGGGATTCTTCGTTTTTATGCTTGAACACACTCAGGAGTAGGAATTTTATTTGCTCATTCAGTAAACAGTTATTGGGGTGCCATGTGACAGAAACAACATTAAAACTGAAACTATAAAAATGAGAGAGATATGGGTCTCTGACCTCAGGAAATAATTGGGGTGTGAAGAAATAAGGAAAAAAGAAACAAGTAAATACAATTCTATAGAGTAATGAATTTGTTAAGATAAAAATGGACATGTTCAAAAAAGCTTATCCTACCCAACCTAACAGAAAGAAAGGCTACTGGGGCAAAGTGTGAATCTGAAACAAAGAATACAAATTAGATTTATTATTACTTGCAGGACAGAGGAACAGAATTCCAGGCAGCAAGGGCTGCACTGGCAAAAGCAAAGAGGGATACACAGCAGTTTAGCACCACTGGAGCACTTACGTGTGCTACTGTAGATGTAGGAGTACCAAGAGAGAAAATAATAGAGGCAGGGCTAAATGAGCTAGTCATAAAAAACCTTGTTCATGTCACATTAAATGACTTGTATTTTATCCTGAGGATATTGAGGAAGCCTCTGAAGGACTTTCAAACTTCTAAATACCATAGTAAGATTTGCATTTCAAGTAGACTATTTCAGTGGCACTGTGAATGATACATATTTCAGGTGGAAAAAAAATGGGTGGTAGATACACCAATGGAGAAAATAGTGGTTAACAGTGCCCTCCCCCCAAATAGGGCAGCAATAGCAGAAGGGATGGAATGAGAGAAGTGATTTTACGAAAATTTAGGAGCAGACTAGGAAGAAAGAATCAAAGATGACTTTCGTATTTGATAAAAAACTGGGAGATATGTCATTAACTGAAACAGAGAACGCAAGGAGGATAAGCTTTCTGAGTTGTAATGGTGGGTGACAAAATTGATCTGACATCTCAATTTGCAGAGGTATTTAGCAGGCAGTTAAATATTTGATGGTAAAGCTTGGGGAAAAGACACCTACTGAGGACAGAGTCTTCCCTGAGTTTTCTCTAGGGTAATTATACCAAGCTAACTCAATGAATAACCACCCTCTTTCTACGCTGATCAATCTACGTAACGACTGCTTGAGCTGCGGTTCTCAACCTGCGGGTCGCGACTCACAGGAACTGTATTAAAGGGCTGCAGCATTAGGAAGGTTCAGAACCACTGCGATAGATCTTCTAGGTGTTTTTTAAGGCATATGCCTACATTCAATTTTTATAACACACTATTGTGGAAACTACCTTTTAAATCCATCACAAATATCTTTTTATACCATTAATAATTGTTTTTAGTGGTTTTAATGGCTGAACAGAAAATTACATAATTTGTTAAAAATCTACAGAAATTTACATCAAGGCCAAACTAACAGGTTTCCTTTTTCTCAGTTTAAAAAAATTTCTGTAAATTCTCACAGTAAAATAAAGTTCACCTACCCTCCCTTTTTAAGACAGACAAGATCTCATTCTATCACCAGGGTTAGAATGCAAGTGGTGTTCTCATGGCTCACTGCAACCTCAAACTCATGGGCTCAAGCAATCCTCCTATCTCAGCCTCCTGAGTAGTTATGATTACAGACATATGCCACCACACCAGGCTAATTCTTTTATTTTTTGTAGGAATGATGTTGCACTATGTTGCCCAGGCTAGTCTCAAGCAATCCTCTTACCTTGACCTCCCAAAGTGCTAGGATTACAAATGTGAACTACCACACCTGGCCTCATTATTGTTTTAGATTGACTTTCTTCCTATACTACTCAGGCTGAATTTGTTTTCTTCTATACAATGACCAAATCACAATCATCTTGGATTTGACAATTTTATTACATTTTGCTAGCATTTAAAGACTGACATTACAAAGTAACAAGAATCAGAATTATGGGAGGAAATTATGTCAAAAATGTATGATGTATGTGTGTTAAAGAACCTGGATGAGCAAGTTAAAAAAAAACTATACAACTGGGAATAAAAAGAACTAAAAACCTATAAATGGGAACATATACTAAAACTCAAATCTGATCATGTCACTATACTTTTAAGTCTTCAGTGCTAGAAGGATGCCTGATAAAGATGATAAACTGAACATGTGCATGCAATTTTGTTCCTCCTGGATCCCCAATTATAGTTCACAAAACTGATTTCGTTTTCACAGGCATAAACACAATCATAGGTGAATGGAAAAAGAGATAATAGTAATGGAGTTTTGAAGGCTAGAAAGCAGATGGATGAATTATAATGAACTGACAAGGCCTCAGAAAGCCAACTTATGTTTTGGAGCCAGGGAATGCCTGATTTTTACCACAAGACCTTCAAGAGGCTCAGGATCTATGGCACCCTAGAAGGTGGAATGAAAAGAGAGACTAAAAATAAAGTTGGCACAAGGAGGCTTTTTGAGCAGCAATTATATCCCCCCTGCCCCCAACTCTGTGAAAGAAAAACTAATCTACCCTGATAAAAAATAAAGATTTATTTCTGGACAGGTGTTCTCTAGACCACAAACAACAGGCACTGCTAAAGGTGGGTATTACACCTCAGCCCTCTTCTCTTAGTTGGCTCCCAGGCCCCTGTCCTATAAGCAGTGTATAAGTGAAGCCATCTCTGGGGAACCTGACCAAATGCTCAGAAGAAAAGACTTAAAGGACACTGACATTAGGACAACCACAATCACTCTACAGGGAAGCTCATAGTTCACACAGCTATTAGGCCCCAAACATCCAAAGAGCTTCCAATACAGCCTTTTGGTCCCCTACTTTTAAACCTGAGCACAAAACTACAAATTATCAAACATTTAAGTAAAGCATGAAACCAGAACAAATGTACATGGGAGGCTACATTAGAATACCCACATGGGGGGAAGGAAACATAAAATGAAACAAACAAAACCTAATTAAAATTCTCAGAGATAAGAGAAAATAAAACACAAATAGGATGCTATTAAAATACAGGAAAAAATATATAACTATTCTGAGGGGGAAAAAAAATACTCTTAGAAATAGGATAACAGAAATAAAAAAGTCAATAGATGGGTTGGAACATATCGAAGAAATCTCCCAAAAAGCACAGCAAAAAAAAAAATGTAAAATGGGAGGAAAAGATGAAAAAATTAAAGAAACAGTCTTGGAAATATAATATCTGGATCACAAGGATTCTAAAGAGATACTGGAAAGGATAAAGAAAAAAAAAATCACCAAACAAATCATTTAAAGAAATTGCCCAGAACTGAAGACCTAAGTTTCTACTACAAAAGGGCCCAATGTATGTTTAGCTGAGTGGAGAAAAATGGATCCAAACCAATGACCCTGATAATGAAATTCTGAAGCACTATGAACAAAGAGGAGATTTTATAAGACGCCAGACATAAAAAAGTAAGAAATCTTTTCAAACACTAGATACTAACTGTGGACTGAGTTTTAAAAATTCCACAAGAATATCTTTACCAAATCAAATGTTCTTTCTCAAGAAACTGCTAGAAAACATGCTCAACCACACCAAGAACACATCCCACAAGAAAAAGGCAGTAGGATGAAAAGAATTCCGAGAATGATACTACACAGTAGTGGACTGAAAGGACAACCAGACCAGACCAAATGGTATGACCCAAGAGGATATTCACCATCAAGATGGCTGCTGGAATTGTATCTTCTTTTTACCAGAGGGCACAGTACTTAGATGAGCTCTGATTCTCACCTGTGCTTGCTTGCTTGCCTTGACCCCGTGCCAGTCAGGTCTTCGCTCTCTTCCCTTCCTTCCTGTAGCCTGCCTCATCTGACTACATCAGGTGTATATAGCTTTGTTTTACTCTTGAGGGCTGAAAAGCCCAGACACCCTAACTGTGGTGAGCCTTCTATTTCCCATAATTTATTCTTGCTCAGTGACTTCCCTAGGAACTTTTAAACTCTTGGGGAAACTGAAGCTGGACAATGCCATGGCTTCTGCTAGGATTATTTTTTTTCCCCAGACCCTTCATCTGAAAGAGGTAATATCATATTCTTACCTAGCAGGTTTATATTTGCTATTTGGTTTTTATATTAAACAACTTTTTCACTCCTATCTACGTAAATACATAGATGGATGTTAACAAAATATTTGAGGAAAAATACATGAGAACAAAAAAATTAGAATGAGAGAATATATCTTAAAAAGAGTCAGGAATTGTGTTTAAAATAAACAGGAAACAAAAACCACTATTAACCTTAAAATTTACTTACATATCATAATTTGCTTACCCTGTTTTTTAGTTTAAACATATACAAGGACTGTCCAGAAAGTATCCAGCCATTCTAATACTATTTTTCATATTATATAGCGGGATACTTTCCACACAGCTCTCCTATTAACTCAGGTTTTTGTATCATCTACACCTGTATGCACTCCCCAAAATCCACAGTATTAAATAAAAACAGTTGTCATAGCCAAGGTTTTCTTTCTTTCAGAGCCAATTAATTTATTCATCAGTTAAACATGAAATTATTTTTTAATCTTGTCACTAGAAACACTATATTCATGTTTAACAATACATTTTACTACATGTGACTGAATACTACCATTTCTAAACTTATGTTAATACTAAGTAAATAGGAATTTTGATATTCTAAGACCATCTCTGCTCATTCTATATATACAGAACTCTGGAATAAAAACTAAATTCTTTTGGAAACATTCTTGGAAGAGACACAACTTAGAATCTCTCCATATGTTTTATACCTGGGCTAATGTGGCAATCTGTGGCTGGGCTTGAACTGTCATTTGTTGGTTTTCAGCTTCTGTTACAGCTGCATCTCCACTCTGCTGGTTCTCTGCTCCAGATTCCATGGTCATTTAGTTACCTATAATAATATGGAAGAATGTTACAAGCACTACAGTGCTTTGGGCTTTCATGTCTTTAAAGGCAAATTTCAAGTTATAAATAATTGTATGTGGTAATTAGGTTAGCAAATACACCTAGAAATCTAAATCTAAGTAAAACATTATATAGCTGAATAGTTGTCAAACCTGACCAATTTGCAGAGTTATGAAAGTTCCAGACCCTTGAGAAAAGAAAGTATCTTTCTTCTCTCTTGGCTGTTTCCTCCCAATATTACCCCATCTAGAAATGAGATTCCTCTCGTCCATGAACCTCCCCTACTAACAAGGAGAGGAAGAGTGGCAGCAAAATTGTAATCTTTCAAACTCTACCCATCAGGTACAGAGAGAGGGTAGAGAGTTGAAGTGAGCTAACCATAGAAGTCTGTGGCATACAGGCTTCATGGTACTTCCTATAAAGGTATTTCCCGATAAGAGAGAAGAATCCAAACAATAGTAAGCTACTTCCACAAAAGATTACTGGTGATAGCACAAAATCAGACCAAGTTTCAAGACCCCAAGTTGTGGGACACAAAGTAGAAAAGTGGAATAAATAGCCACAGAGCCAAATGGGAGACACCAAACACTAAATAAGTTGTTCTAACTCTTATGCCAGGTATAGTGTGCAACACTACACTGCACAGGTACATACATACAAAGAAAATACCTTTAAAGATCTTAATTGAAAAATTTGGGGTAAGTAATCAAGATGATCATTGTCAGGTTTTAGACTCTGCTTTGCTAAGAGCTTAGTATATCTGTTAGGTAATCTGGCAGTAGATGGCAACAAAAGTTAAGTTGAGAGCAATTCCTAGTAGCAATAGCTACTGTACATAAAACTTAGAGAAGTTTCTGATAACTGGGGAAGTCATTCTGCCTAAATAAGCAATTATTTCTAGTTAATTGTTGTAATTCAATGCCTAGCAAATCACCTGTCAAAAATGAATTTATTGATATTAAGGGACTGCCTATAGTGATTCACAAACACCACAAAAACCCATTGCTTTTCCAGAACATATTTATTTTATAACTTCAAAATTGATAATCAAAACTATCACTGATCCTTATGTGATTATTATATACCATCACAATGTATTACATACTAGTACATCTAGCAAGATTGCTATCATTCATAGGGTGCTATAAAAAGAAAGTGCTTTACAAGTGACAGTTAAAAATGGAAATAAAAATACCTCTGTGGAAATGAATATAAACAGTTCAGAAATACCAGAATCTACAAACACAGATGACAAAGGAAAAGATTAACAGATTTGACATTATTATTATTAAAAACATTCACTACTTCCTAAGATAGAGGGAGGGAGGGATAAAGTAAGGAAATCTTTTAACATTCATAAACCCACTAAGGTTAATTGCACTGGTAGAAATTATCTGCCACATATAATCACCACAATAATATCAAGATACAAAAGAACTACTAGTAATACAACACTTTACTAGTTCACAAAGATAAAATTCAAGGGTATTCACTGTAATTTATTTATTTATGACAGAATCTCACTTAGTTGAACTGGACCTGGGCTTGAAGGCTATGGTGTCACAGCTCCCAATAACTCAAACTCTTAGGCTCAAGCAATCATCTTAACTCAGCCTCCTGAATAGCTGGGACCACAGGTGCCCACCACAATGCCAGGCTAGTTTTTCAGTTTTTAATAGAGATGGGGTCTGGCTTTTGCTCAGGCTGGTCTCAACTACCTGCCTCAGCCTCCTAGAGTGCTAGGATTACAAGTTTGAGCCACGGCACCCAGCCTAGAATATTTTTAAAATAGCAAAACACTGAAAATAAATACCCAGCATTAGGAGAACTATTAAAAATAGCCTATGTATAATGTAATCATGTATTATAAAACAAACCCCATTTATGTTAAAAAAAAAAATGACTAAAACAAACTGTTAAGGTACATGCATGGAAAAGACAGGGGAGGTTACGTGGTAGCTCTGAAGACAACTAGGATTTCGTAGATATCTATGGATGAGGGCTATCACTTTTACAAATATTGGTATTTAAAAAATTTTAATATCAGAAATCATATATAACACTTTAAAATAATGAACCAAAACTACACCACAATCATAATTTGGAGATACTCAAAGATAAAACATTTTTTAAATTCTAGATACATTTTACATGAAATTACCATTTCTGTTTAAATTTGGCCTCAACTGTTTATCCAACATTTCTAAATAATAAAAATTAACTGCTTTTAAAAATTATCAAATAACTTCAGTTATCACTTATAAAAATTCACTGAGTTGGATACTTATACTCTGCTCTTTTAAACTACAAAATTTAAGAAAGAGATCAAATTTAACAGAAAACAACAACAAAAAAAGTTTATCTATCTTAAAAGTTACCGTACTTTTGGTCTGGGGAAAAAAATGGTACGCAGAAAAGAAAAACCTAATTTCAATAACAACAAATGAATGAACCCATTCCAGGACAGTACTGAGTCAAGCGTAAGAGCAGACATCTATAAATTTTTCTCCACTGGTCTCTTCTAAATTACCATTTTAAACTAGGAAGATAAATAGAAATTTATCACAATACCCTTGCAGATGAAGTATACACATTCATTTTTAAAGACTTTCATTCCAAGCCACCTTTTTATGCTATGTTGTCACTTGATATATGGAGTTTTACTCTATTATCTGATTAATTGCAATCTAAAGCACAGATCAGTCATATTTCTTTTGTTTTTGTTTGTTCTACAAATAAAATCAAGATTATTTTTTCACATTTTAGGTACGGGGCATTACAACTTTCTATTTTGGAAAAGAAAACATTTATTACCATATTCTAATAAAAGAAGTAGTTACAGCTGTAAAGACACACTCAAAATAATTTTCATACTCCTTCCCTCCTTAACAAAGATAAAGTTCAAGAGTACTCATTGTAGAATATTTTTAAAATAACAAAAAATTGAAAACAAATATCCATCATTAGTCTATAATGTAATAACATCTTATAAAGCAGAATCCTATTTATGTTAGCCAAAAATAAGACAAGTAAAACAAATTGTTGTAGAAGTGTAGGCATGGAAAAGATGTGGGAAGTTAAACACTAAACCACAGGTGGTAGCTCCAAAGAAAGAATGATTTAGTAGAACTACAGAATGATGACTTTCATTTTTCACTCTTTACCTAATATGTCTTTTCTTAAAAAAAAAAAACCAAGGTGTGTTATTTCCAATAGATAGGAGACCTCCTTTAAAATGTTACTGTTTTATTATCATTTCATTCAGGTGGACTACAATCCTTTTTCAGTGTAGAGCAGCGTTTCTCACCTTGGGGTCATGACACACATGAACTGTATTAAAGGGCTGCACTACTCTGAAGGCTGAGAACCACTGGTCTAGAGGATGACCTTCTTATTTTTCTAACTCTTAGCTTAAGTCGATACCAACTTCTTGGGGAACAATACAAATACAGTCTTTCATCTGAAAATGCACGCCTTTTCTCAAAGTGCTGATAAGAATTAAGGAAGAACAATTTTTTCAGATGAGAAACTTGGTAACAACTAAAACAAATACTGTTGTTATTTCATTTTAAAGGTATGAAAATAGCAATCTTCCAACTGGACTAAATCAGCATTAAAAGTGGCTGCAACTATTTTGACATCGAAAGTTTTAGCTTAAAGATATGGTATATTATCATATGTAGGATCTGCAATCTTTCTATCAGTCTAGCCAACAGTGCCCTATCCAGACTTAAGATTAGATATTAGAGGAAATCGGTAGGTTCCCAACATTGTTTGAAGAAATTCACTAAACATGGGCCAAAAAGAAAGAAACGGAATAATGCTAAAAAATAAGAAAAAGACTAGGTACATATGAAATCAGAATGTTGCATGAGTACTGGGCCCAGGATATATACTAATGGCATGATAGTACTATATTCTTTTTTCTTTTCATATCTTCTAACCATCATCCCCCTATCCTCCCCTCTCCCCACTTGCTCATTCGCCAACCACTACCCTTTGTATTAGCTCATCTGCTGCCTTCATATTGGAATAGAGTACATTGAATTCTTTCTTTTCCATTCTTTTTTTTTTTGAGACAGAGCCTCAAGCTATCCCCCTGGGTTGAGTGCTGTGGCATCACAGCTCACAGCAACCTCCAACTCCTGGCCTCAAGCGAGTCTCCTGTCTCCACCTCCCAAGTAGCTGGGACCACAGGCGCCCACCACAATGCCTGGCTATTTTTTTTGGTTGCAGCCGTCATTGTTGTTTGGCGGGCCTGGGCTGGATTTGAACCCACCATCTTAGGTGTATGTGGCTGGCGCCTTAGCCACTTGAGCCACAGGCGCTGAGCCTCTTTTCCATTCTTGTGATGCATTACTAAAAAGAATGTGTTCCACCTCCATCCTGGTTAATAAAAAAGATGTAAAGTCTGCATCTTTTTAGTGGCTGAATAACATTCCATGGTGAACATACACCACAGCTTGTTGATCCATTCCTGGATTGGTGGGCATTTAGGCTGTTTCCACATTTTGGCAATTGTAAATTGAGCTGCGATAAACAGTCTAGTGCAAATGTCCTTAAGACAAAAGGACATTTTCTTTTCTTCTGGGTAGATGCCTAGTAATGGGATTGCAGGATCAAATGGGAGGTCTAATTTAAGTTCTTTGAAGATTCTCCATACTTCCTTTCAAAAAGGTTGTATTAGTTTGCAGTCCCACCAGCAGTGTAAGTGTTCCCTTTTCTCTACACCCAGCATCTGCAGCTTTGAGACTTTGTGGACCATTCTCACTGGGGTTAGGTGATATCTCAGGGTGGTTTTGATTTGCATTTCTCTGATGATTAGGGATGGTGAGCATTTCTATGTTTGTTAGCCATTTGTCTGCCTTCTTTAGAGAAGGTTCTATTCAACTCTCTTGCCCAAGTACTATAATTCTTGTTCTTCCAGCAATTCTAAATTTTATTTAGGATTAATGTTTAAAAGTTGAATTATCATGATTTTCATCC